GAGACTGTTGGATTGTGTTTGTTGTGTGTCTTTTGTGTTATGTGTGTGTGTGCGTGTATTTGTTTCTTGTTTGTGTGTGTGTGTGTGTGTGTGTGTGTGTGTGTGTGTGTGTGTGTGTGTGTGTGTGTGTGTGTGTGTGTGTGTGTGTGCGTGCGCGTGTGTGTGTGTGTGTGTGTGTGTGCGTGTGTGTGTGTGTGTGTGTGTGTGTGTGTGTGTGTGTGTGTGTGTGTGTGTGTGTGTGTGTGTGTGTGTGTGTGTGTGTGTGTGTTGTGCTATGTGTGTTATGTACATGCGCGTGAGTGACTGTGTCTGTGTATTTGTGTGTATGTTTTTTGTTTTGTTTTTAATGCGTATCTTTTGTGCTTGTACTTTTTTGTACGTGTATGTGAATGTTTCCGCCATGAAAAAAATTAAGCCCCTTCAACACAAACAACACACGAAAGCTAACCACCCCAATCCAGCTCATACCCGGAGGATAAGCTACTACAAGACACACACACACCTGTAGGTCCATGTATCCCAGAGTCGACAGCACACCCGAGAGAAACCCCAGTATAAGAGCGCCCCAAGGTTGCAGCATGAGGTCCGCTACGGCACCCACCGCCACGCCCCCGGCTAGAGTGGCATTTTGCACGTGGACCATTTCCCATCTGTTCTTCCTGAAGGTGAAGTGTAAAGAACGTGGATGAATGTATGATGCTGTTGTGTGAGTGAAATGTGATGTATGTTGGGCGTATGGGGTGGGGGGGTGGGGGGTAAGGGAGTATGAGTATTTGTGGTTAGATCGTTAGGTTTGTGAGGAATGAGGTTTTTAGAGGAAGTCAGATGGATGAGGTATGAGGTATGAGGGATTTTGGTGAAATATGAGATATGAGTGATTTTGGCGAAATATGAGGTATGAGTTATGAGGGATTTTGGTGAAATACGAGGTATGAGGCTGAGGTATGGCGTATGTGGGTAAAAGGGTTATGAGTGGAGTATGAGGCACACGAAGGAAATATGAGGCAAGTGAGTGAAGCATGAGCAATGAGTGTGTAGTAGAAAAGCTCTGAAAACTCTGAAGAACTAACACTGATCTTTTTATATATTTTATAAAAAGATTAAACGAGAAAAGTTTTTCAATATTTTTATATAAAGCATTTCCGAGAAACAAAATGGTCTGCTTGATTTTTTTTCTCTTCTAAATATGCAATTATATATCATATATCTATGTATTTAGATATTCATTTATATATTCACTTATCTACTTAGTAGTTTCACGTTAAAGCGTAATGATAATGATATTAATAAATGTGATTGTGATTTAGACAGAGATTATTAACATTAATGCTACCCTTATTATTATTATCATTATTATCATTACTGTTATCATCTTTATTATTATTCTATTGTTTATTATCATTATTATTAATATTATTATTACTATTACTATTTATTATCATCCTTATTATCGTTAACTTTGTCATTATCATTATATCATCGGTATTATTATCAATATTTTTACCATTACTATCATTATCATTATCATCATTATCATTGTCAAAATCATTAACGGTAATGAATACAAACGATGGAAATGACACTCCTGAAAATAGAAATAATAAAACTAAAAAATATAGCAATCAACAACAACAAAGATATTAATAACGATGTATTTATCCCTTCTCACTTAGCAACATTTGAATAAACGTGTAATCTCTTACTAAACGTATTTTTTTTCTCGAATGCATTTTTATAGAATAACAACTTGAAAAATCAGTATGTGTTAAGTAAAAGTGAGATATTATATAGTGTGAAAGCCATGGTAATAATACTGAGTATCATAATGATGATAATTTTACATTCCAATGATAATGACGATAATAGTAATATCTCGTAATAAAGATTATTATCGTTATTATCGATGACATGTTTATATAATTAACACATATAAAAAAATATATATATATCTTTTATGAAAATTACTATCATACATGTAACAACAACACCAGTTATGTTGATAACAGAAGATTATGAAAAAAAATACGAATAACGATGATAATAATGAAATATTATGGGAGTAGCGATGTCAGTGATAATGGAGATAACAATGACTTTAGAGATAAGGATATTACTATCTCTATAGTGTGTTGATGGTAATTAGTCTAACAGTAACAACAATTACTTATTATTATCATTATCATTATATAAGAAATATCGGTTTACTTCTATTGTTATTAAGCTTTTATTGTTATCATTAGCCGTATTGTTATCAGGTTTATCATTAGTAATATCATTGTTATCATTACCTATACTGTTACTATTTTTACTGTCATTATTATCATTATCATTGTTAATATCAATATCACTATTATTAGCATTATTCTTCTCATTACCATTATCATTATCATAAGTGTTATTGTTTGTTATTATCATTATTATTATAATTCTTGTTATCATCATTACTATCACTATTACCCTTATCATTATCATTGTTATCATTATAATCATTATCATCATT